CTGATTCCAGCATCATCAGTAAATCTTATGGAAAAACGTGAAAAAGTTTCAAAATTTAGAAAAATAAAGATGCTCGCCAATAGATAACAAGAGCTATCCAATTACATAAAAACACTTAAAATCATTGTTTTTTTTTGACGAAAATCGCGATTTTTGACAAGCCGACGACGGTCTTAAATTCTTCTTTTTTTTTATGTCTTTCATTTTGTCAATTTCACTGATTTTATTAAATTTGATTTTCTTATTTATCGCGTGTATCATCAACATTGGTCCTGTTCAACCTAAAAAAAATTTTAATTGAAGCAAAACTAAAATCTGTAATCATACTCTATTAATTTATCGTTATATTCATTACCTTTAGAAATTTCTCTCAATAATATAAATCATAATAATAATTTAATCAAAACATAATTTAACACAACAATGATGTAGGATCATATCAATTATTATGTGAACCTTGATGTAGATTGAACATTTTAATCCTCTTATCATCTATAAGATAATTAAAATATTTTCTCGAATTCATTCATTATGATTATTATAGAACAAAGAATATACACTTTGTGCTAGAAAATAAAGATTAACTACTAAAAAGAAGACAACAGCGTGATAGACGACAACAACAACAACAACAATAACAACAAAAAAAAACGAATGTATAAACTCATTGAGATGGACGGATTGATTGATCTTTAGATAATTTCATATTCTTCTTAGTTCTTTCTTGTGTCGTTATTATGCTGATTGTCCAGCAGCAAATCTTAAACGTTTATTCTTTTGTCGTTGATTACAAAACCAAACACGTACAACATTCTTCTTTAAATCAAGTTTATCGGCTATTTGTGCAATACGTTCACCACTAGGTCTTTGTTGTTGAATAAAACACGATTCAAGAAAACGTTTTTCTTGTGCTGCAATTGATGTTCGTTTGCGTTTTTTGTCAACTAAACTTCCATTTGAACATCCATGTCCACTTGAACTACCAATTGAACCATTCATTTCATCTTTTTTTCTTTGTCTCATTTCTGCTTCAGCAAATTCTAACCATGCTTGAAGAACTGGTTTTAATGCAACCATATTATTATGTGATAACGTAAGTGATTCAAATCGACATATTGTTGATTGAGATAAAGAACCAACACCAGGCATTTTTAATTTTGATAATTGTTGTCCAACATCAGCTTGTGTAATACCTAATTTAATTCGACGTTGTTTAAAACGTTCAGCAAATGATTCAAGTTCACGTGGATCAATGTCAAGTTCATGTGTTGGTAGAAGACCACCAATAACGCCATGATGATGAACTGAATGATGATGCATGCCAACAACCATACCGGGTAAAACACCAGCAGCAGCTGCAGCATGATGATGAGCTACAGCAGCATATTGATGTTGATAAAATGGATGTAAATCCGAATTTAATTGAGAATGATGATTATGTTGAATTTGATCAGAAGGAAGATGAGATTCTATTGATGATGCACCTGGATAAACGGCTGTCGATAAGGATGATGATGATGACGACGAGGAAACAGTAGCTGTGCCTGATGAACAAGCAAAAGGAGATGGATAATAAAGTGATGATGTTGATGATGATTCAGGTTTTGTCAGAGCTTCAGCTTGACGAAGAAAATTATCATCAATTGTTGGACAAAATAAACTCTAAAAAGAAAAACAATATTATTTTTTTTTCATTTATATCATACTTACATTGGGTTCAAATTTAAAACTATCACCAAAACAATTAGATTTTGACCACTAAAAAAATAAAATCAAATTAATCTTCCAATTAAAAAAGAAGAAACAAAAAGGAAAATAATTCTTATCCTCTAAAAAAAAAAATTCAATTATGAAAATCTGACTGGATCAACTGTCATGTTTTCTATAATCCTGTCTGTGTTCATCATTGCATAAAAGAACAACAGAACAGAGCAAAGTACAAAGAAAAAAAAAATCTGTACAACTCGATTCATATTACAAAAGAATAAAAAAATAGATCATCATCATCGTCAACGCCTTGACTTACCTAGACACACATGCACGCACGTATAGACGAAAGATGAGATAAATTCAATTTATTTTTTCCCTTCTTACATACCGGTGTACTTGGCATATATCGTCGATTATTTGGATCACTTGTAACAGCAGCTACAGCTGCTGCTCGATAAAAATTACTTGGTGAATATCTTCCAGTAGTATTTCCGATTGAATTTGAATTTGAATTTGTATTTGTACTTGTTGTTGCTTGTGATGATGTAAATGAAGTTGATGCATTAGGAAATGATAATTTAGTCGTTGGTGTTATTGATAATGATTGTTCAATAGATGATGTACTTGTAAGCATTGTAGGTGGGTATGTATTTTTCTTTTTATTTTATTTATTAGAATCAATCAATAATTTACTTTATATTTAAGCTATCATTATTATTAACAATGAATTGAAAATATTCTTTTTTGGCACACTTGAATGATTATATGTCTATGTTGATATTGTTTTATGTATGTGTATGCTAAATAATAGATAAATATATACATAGTTAAAAAAGAAATGCATTCGATTATAATAATTTATCAATATTCATTCATTCACTCATTCATTCATTCATTCACTCACATAAGAGAAAGAGATATATATATATAATCAATATGACTGGCCAGACTGAGTTGTTCTGGTAACTGCTTTTTGTTGGTCGTGATGGTTGAAAAAAAAAAGGTGTAAGTTGCTTGCAAGAGTTTTTTCTTCTTTTTTTTTTCTCTTCACTGCTGCTGTTCGTTCCGTGAATGATTAATGATAAATAAGAAATGAGAGAGACCTTTTTCTTCGATTAGACTAGAGAGAGAGAAAAAAAGCGGAAAGAAAATTTACCTGTAGAGAAAAGATAAAAAATTCGTTCATTGGTTGTTCATGTTTCTCATTAACCAATGAATGACGTTTAACAATATGAGTGTTACAACATCTGTCTGTCATCTTTAGCTGAGTAAAGAGAGAAGATTTCCCCAAGCGCCAACGACACGCAAGGCGACGATCAGTTCTATGTTCTTTTCTATACAAGTATTATCTTTTTTTTTTGCTATGCTTCTCTCTTACTTTAATTCAATCGAACTCGAATTCTTCTTTTCTTTTGTTATCGTGCAATGAGATAGGTGATAGAAGTAAAAATGATATAAATAAGTTAATACTCGTAAAAGCCCATTTGAACAAATGAGCGGTCCACCATCATCAACTATTCACGTTATATTCTATTCTTTTTTTTCTTTTTTTTTTCCTATATATTAAGTAAAGAATAGGGCATCTAAAAAAGACATTTTCTTTTCTCATCAATTTTTATTCAAAGTTATATAGATATACAAAAGATATCTTATTGAGATAATAGATATATTCGAAAAAAAAAAGTTAGAATTGTAAATAATTATAAAATTGTATAGAAAAAAAAATCTTCCATGAAAAATAATGACATTTGTTCTTGTCAAATAATTATTAACTCCAAAGCTCTTTTTTTCTACCATTAAGAATAAAGTATATTTTGAATTAGGATGGAAATTTGTACTTTTAAATGAACCTTGATGGGTTATATTGTCTTTGTTTTAAAGTATTTGATATTAAGACGAGATATTATATTCGTATAATGAAAGGTTGTTATGACATTGAATAGATAAAATTTCATCTACTCAAAAAAATCATTTTAATATAAAACAAAAATTCTATTACAGATTGACTCCTTTTTTTTTGTATCATATGAGTTGTTTTTTTAGTTCTTTGATCTAACCTTTTTTTTTCAGGTACTTATTGAGTTGTTAGATTTCCGTTTCTCATTAATTCATATATATATACAATCCTTGTATACTTGCCCCGAAGGCAACCACAAACATACGCACCGACGTGTGCACGAAAAAAAAAAAGAAAGAGTAAAATCAATTTTTAATACATTGTTACGCATCAGATTGGAAAAAAAAAGATGTATGTGTATTCAACGACTGATGATGTGTTTGCTTGAAGTAAACTAGTCTAGAACAGTTTTATTCAACTGAGAAAAATACCAGATGGAGTTTTCTTTTCTTTTTGTCAAATTATTGCTTGTACTTGTGATCTTATTTCTGCTTCTTGTCTGTCGTGATGATGAGTGCAAAGAGTGAGTGAAGCACGCCTTCACATTCATTTATTCATTTATGTTCGTCACGTCAGGAGCCGACTCCGAGACTATTGTCGCTATCTGTATATATATATATGTGTGTGTGTAGGAGTGACATTGTCCGTTTGTGAGAGTATTTTCAGATGACACTTGAGCAAAACATACAACAACGCTTATCATAATTGTTCGACCGTATTAATTACTATTCTTTTTTTTTCTGCATTCGTTATTTTCTTTGGTGTTTTTATTTCAGATAAGACGCATAAGATTTAGTTACTGGTTTTGTTGACATTCGGTGTTAGATTTGAAAATGAATCAAAAGATTATGCCAATCATTTTTTTTTGTCGGTGAATAGCTTCGAGCAATGAGAAAAAAACCAGAAATAACATTATTTTTTCTCATTTGTCTACATATGTATTTATGACCAGATGGAAACAAAAACTAAGAAATATTCTCATCGATTATCTATATTGAACAGAATACAATGATGACTCCCTCGATAATATATCTCTCGTATTCTTTTTTTTATTTTTACAATTGTGACGTGAAAAAAAAAGTGATGTATGTGTGTATCTCTCAAGAGAACATGCAAAATAGAGGCGGAACTAGGTCACTCAACATCAATACTAAACTGATCGATTACACGAGATAACAGATGGTAATCGACAGCGACACTAGCTCACCTTTTTCATTCTTTTGCTGAGTTTTTCTTTTCTTCTGTTCTTTTTGATGTGCACATCTCGCCAACGAGAAGAACAACAGTTATTATTTTGAGTAGTGATGCTATTCACTCTTTATTTCGTCGTTGGCCATCTGGTAATAGCGAGACCACTTGTCGTGTCACGAAACGGTTTTTTTCTTGTTTCCATATGGTAAGCATATATATATATGTAAATGGAATTTATTAATATTAAAAAAAGTCTATCAATTAGATACTATTTTCTATGCTTGAATCATTTCAAGGTTTGGTATTATTCAAATATCAATTTTAGCAAAAACAAATTTTACAATTGAAGAACTAAACGATCGCATCTTCGTTAGATGTCGTTAGCTCCTCGTTTGAACAAGAAGTGAAATTCTTTTGTTAGTGAGTTACCTCGGCGACTTGATTAAGAATGGCAAATTCATACATACAACTAGTAGTGATCAAAAAAAATATCAATTGTTTGTTTTTTTGAGAGAACTATGAGGTATTATGAATTTAAAGAAAAAAACTTTATTATTTAAATAAAATGTATTTATTGATATAGTACAGCTATTCCAATCGCTGAGCAGCTTTACGTTGGACTCTATTGTTCGGATTGTGCCTGCCAAACAGAACAAAACGAAATTGTTCAATTGAAACATACGACTAAACTATTGGAAAAGCTTTATCATGTATAGAGATTTTTTTCGTTTATAATTGATCAATATATTTTTGTACGATTTATAGGAAATTGAATGGCTCAAAAGTGAATTAACTTTCACTCGTGAAAGTTTACGATCATCATTTTATGATGAATTACAAACAAATGGACAACAAATGTAAGATCTACTATTATTATTCTCTATGTTATTCATTCTATTGATTAAGATATTACCAATTGACAGACAAACTTGATGTATTAAGAAAAAATCATAGTAAAGTAAGTTTTTATAATTTATAAAACAATAATTTATGAAATTGATTTTTGTTAGGCACTTGAAACATTACGACTTTCATATCGTAGTCAATTACATGATTTTATATCACAAGCAAGAAGTATTATTAATGTAAAATTGTGAACCGTTTTTTAGAGATTTTTCAATAACAAAAAATCGATGAATTTTTATATGTATATTGTAGAGTGATAAACCTACATCATCTGAATCGATCGCTCAAAAGCAACAATTAGGAAGTGAAAATCGAGAAAAATCATTCTTTCAACAAGCAGCGATGAAAGGTTATGAAACCGAAATAGCTAATTTAAAAAAAGAAATTGAACAATTACAAGAAACTACTAAAGTTCGAAATATGTTTTGATTTATATTTTTTTAAAATTTTTCGTCGTTTATATTCTAGTATGAAATTAAATTAGCTACAGGTTTTCTTAACGATGAAATAGATCGTTCAACTAAAGAATTAGCTAATGCAACTCGAACTATAGCTCAATCAGAAGATACAATTATGAAAAAAGATGAACAAATTCGAGATCTTAGTAATATATTATATAAACAATTCTGTGTTCTTTTTTTTTCTATTATTAAAACCTTCATTTATATTTAGAACGTGATTTAGCTACTCTTCAAACTAAATTAAAAGAATCAAAAAAAGTTACAGTTCGTGAACCAACTCCAACACCAACTGTTGAAACCCAATCACGTTTAGCTCAAACTGATCCATGGGCACCATCACCCATAAAGGATAACTCAGAAGAGGCTAATAAAGAATTACAAGCATTGATGCAAACTAAAGTTGAAGCACTCGAAAATAAATATCAAACAATTATTGAACAAAAAAATTCTCAAATACAACAATTAATGCAAGAAGTACGAAAATAAATATCTTCAAAATAAAAAATAAAAAATAAATTCCTTTTATTCCATCTTTAGGCTGATACACAACAAAAGGCATTTAAAAATAAGTTGGAAAAATATATAACTATGGAAGAACGTAATCGAAATGATATGAAACGGTAAAAACAAACATAACATTAAATTATAAAAAAAAAATTTCTCAATCCATGAATTTATAGATATTCTGAAAAGCATAAACAAGAAATTCAAATGTGGGAAACAAAATATGATATACTTAAGAAGAGGCATTTAATTAATTACTTATTTTGTTTTCATCTATTTTGTATATTTTCATTTTAGTACGACGGTTCTACGCGACGAAATGTATACACGACAAACTCATATTCGTGATCGATTTATTGCTAAACCAGCTGTAGTTACATATAATTAACTCCAGAAAAACTTGTGTGACTGTTTTTTCTCTATAAAATTGTAGTCAGATATAAAATATTTTCTTATTCATCGGTTCCATTCTTAAGTTTTTCATGTCTTTGCAAAACAATGAAAGTACATAAATTATCTGTTCGTAAAAGATATTCCACTTTTTTTGTCTTTAAACGTAATTCAACAACATCTTTTAAACCGACATGATTAGTTGTACGTTTGATACGTTCAAGAAATGGTTGTAATTGTGTGACTAAATTTTTCGTATATTCTTCATCAAATGTTGTTCGAATAGGTACACCTTTTTTTTTTAAAAACAATAATATAAAATAGCATCAAGCAGAAAAAAATATTTATGCATATCAAAGTGCCTACCACTCGATGTCATACAAATATAACCAGTGACATGTTCGAGAGTTTGAACTCGATCAAGTGCAGTTTGAACTTCTCTCAAGGCCATCTATTGCCTAAGAAAAAAGTTCGTTTTAAATCAAACTGAATAATCAATTTTTAAATTTATTGGCGCGTATAAAAGAAAAGTATTATCTTATGAGTATATTGAAATAGCATGAATCTAGTTATTTGATCTATACGACAAAATCTTTCGAGTTATTTACGCCATGCCTAGACATATATATATGAAGTCATACTTGTTTTGACAGTCGACAATAGTCTTCATTTTCACATTCTCTATGTCGAACGCTGTTTGCTCTTCTTTTTTTTCCTTCTTTTCTCGGTTCGGGTTTTCTTCCGTCTTTTTGTTGTTGTTGTAGGCTTCGCTTCAATTTGGTTTAAGGCATACACAACACATACACAAACAACACAACCATACAGAAAGAGTTGGTCGGGAAATGCAATTTTCTCTTCTTCGATTTCCTCTTTTCTCCCATGTTAGTAGTGAGGATAGATCGCATGCCGAGCGTAATGCATTACAACGACAACAGCATTGACGACAGTGCGTAGAAGAAAAAAGAAAGTAGAATGAGAAGACGAAGAAGAATCGAGACATGAGAACTGAACGCACTGTTAGGAATCAGTAATAGTCGGACGGGACATGTTAATTGTTGTCTATAAAGACGAAATAACTATAAAAGGTAAGAAACATAAAAGAATATGATATTTCACATGTTTTCTTTCATTTTTATTATATGTAAATAGATTATTTTGTAACAAAGATAATACAAATATGTTATTGGACTATTCCCATATTAATAATCACAGTTTATTACTATTTCTTTGTGTGTGTCATGGATATTTTGTTATAATTATTCATTCTATTACTGTTGCACATCAACTTCCAATAGATATATTACCTCCGATATCCAGTAAAAAAGATAAAACTCTATGGATTGGTGGTAAATAGTTTTTTTTGCTTCTATTTAAAGATAATAATTTAACATTTTCTTTGAAGGAATGTTTCCTCAAACAGGCGAATGGGCGGGTGGTGAAGCTGCTTTTCCTGCAGCTATTAAAGCTCTAGATCAAATAAATCAGCGTGAAGATATTTTACCCGGTTATTATCTAAATTTATCTGCTTATGATACACGAGTAAATAATAAAATATTGTTTTTTTCATATATAAATTTCTTATTTTTTTTAAATTTCTTTTTATTAGTGTTCACCCGGTTTGGGTACAACAATTTTATATGAATTACTCTATAATAAAACATTTGGTAATGTAAATAGTTCTATATTAATGTTACTTGGTCCAGCTTGTAGTCCTGTATCAACAGCTGTTGGTGAAGCAGCTAAAATGTGGAATTTAATTGTACTTTCCTATGGATCAAGTTCACCAGCATTGTCAAATCGTGATCGTTTTCGTACTTTTTTTCGTACACATCCACCAGCTACATTACATAATCCAACACGTATAAAATTTTTTGATTTATTTGGTTGGAAACGTATTGCTATATTAATTCAAACCGAAGAAGTTTGGCAATCAACAGCTGAGCATTTAGAAACATTAGCACGTAAACATAATGTTCATGTAAGTAGAATAAATAAATACATAATTAAATTTAAAAATAAAAAAAATAAAAACTTACTATTTTTAAAGATTGCTGTACGACAATTGTTTGATAATGATCCTTCACATGCTATTAGCAATTTAAAAAAGGATGATATTCGTATTATTGTTGGATTATTTTATGAAGAAAAAGCAAGAAAAGTCTTTTGTAAAGTAAGATATATTAATATTTAATGTATATATCATTTTTTTATATGTTTTTTTTTTCTCAAGGCTTATCAACAAAATTATTATGGAGAAAGTTATGTATGGTGGTTGATTGGCTGGTAAATATTTTTCGATAAGTGAAATTCAATCTATATATATATATTTATATTTTAGGTATGCCGATAATTGGTTTATTAAAGTACATGATGTTGAATGTACAGCGGAAGAAATGTCTCGAGCAGTTGAAGGACATTTCACCACAGAAATTCAAATGTTAACTGATGCAACAACAAAAACTATATCAGGTTTAACAGCTCAAGAATTTATAACTGATCTTAATTCAACACTAAGACAATTATTTCCCACTAAACCTATTGAATCCATTGGTGGTTATGTTGAAGCACCTCTTGCTTATGATGCAACATGGGCATTAGCATTAGCACTTAATCGTTCATTAGAAAGAACAAATTTAGAAGAATGGACATATGGAAATACAGATATGAAGAAAATTATGTATGTAAAAAAAAAGGATTAGAATATGGATTTATTTATTTTTTCTAAATTCCGTTTATAGGATGGATGATATGGAAAAAACAGATTTTTTTGGTGTTTCAGGTTCTGTAAAATTTGATAAATTAGGTAATCGAATGTCAAAAGTTGTTGTTGAACAACTTCGAAGTAAGTTTTATTAATTTTTATTGTTGATTAAAATTAATATTTATTTTTTTTATATTTATTTTGTTTTAGATGGTCTTTATCATCGTTTGGCTCGTTTTGATGCTGAAAAAGGTTCAATTGAATGGTTAAGTGGTGAAGAACCAGACGGTAGTCGTTGTTGGAATTACAAATATAATTATTCTTCAAGTAGTTTATATTATAGAATTTATTTATATTTAAAATTCAAATTTTTTTATTTTTTAGCTAATGAAAGACGTCGTTCAGCTCCATTTGATCAATTACAAATTTCTCATCAAGTTCAAGAAATTTCTCGTCCATTATATTTAACAATGAGCTGTTTTGCAGCACTTGGTCTTGTTTTTGCTATTGTTTGTCTTATACTGAATATTGTTTATCGAAAGCGAAAGTAAGATTAAATTATTTAAGAAATTAGAAAAAAAAAAAAAGATTTTTTTCGTTCGTTTTTAAAAATTCTTTATTGAAGATTTATTTGGCAATCGAAACCAATGTATAATAATTGTGCTTTGATCGGTGGTATTATTTGTTTAGCTGATGTATTTTTACTTGGCGCTGATAGTCAAACAGATAATCCAGCTCGTTTTGTTAAATTATGTCAAGTTAGAAATTATTATTTTTATTTTTGTTAAAATATTTTTATATGATTATTTTTTTTAGTTAAAAGGTTCACTTTTGGCTGCTGGTTTTTCATTATGTTTCGGTGGTTTATTGGCAAAACTTGTACGAACTTATCTTTTATCAACTAAAAAAACTATAGTTTGTGTTATCGTATGTTTTTGCTTTTTTTTCATTATATGTTGTTTATATTCTAGAATCATGTTTGGTCTATGTTTGAACTTTTTATTATTGTTGGAAGTTTACTTCTTATTGATCTAATTGTATTTGTTGCTTGGCATATAAAAGATCCATTACATTTTAGTTCTGAAGCAACACGTGAAGGTCCAATAACAAATGATGTTAAAACTGTTTATCAATTTCAACAATGTCGTTCAAATCATCATATGATATGGATTGGACTTTTATATTCTATTAAAGGTATATTAATTGTTATTGGAATTTATTTAAGCTATGAAACTCGAGCAAGTAAACTTGAAACGATAAATGATGCACATTTAGTTCGTATGTGTACCTATAATATATTTGTAAGTTAATTTCTTTTTAAATAAACATTTAAATAAAAATATATTTTTTTTTGATAATACTATAGATTGTTTGTTTAATTTCGGCATCATTAACACTTATTATTGAACGTAATCAAGATGCTGATTTTGCATTTGCATCTATAGCTATTATTCTTTGTTGTTTTGTCTCATTTGGTCTTATATTTTTACCAAAGATTTTATGTATTATTCGTGGTCGTGATCAACCCTTTTCATCAACTGATAGTAAAGCACAATCAAGGTCAAATTCAGCTGGTGGTCATAATGCAAATCCTACAGTACAACAATTAAGTAGTGAGGACGAAGAAAAACATCGAAAATTAGTTGCAGAAAATGAACAACTCAAAGCATTAATTGCTGAACGTGAAGCACGTGTCAATGAATTAATACAAAAATTAAAACAACGTGGAAGTAATATTGTTATACGTGATGTTCAACGATTTAGTGGTAGTCTTGGTGTTGGGCATCCGTCTAATATTCATGATGGAGACCCAACAAATACAACTGATACAACAGCTTATGTTATGCGACGTCGATCAACATTTGTTAATCCCATTACACTGAGTACACGCATATCGAATGCTCTACTCTCAACAAGAGAATCAATAACAGAGAAAACAATTGAAGTACCGTCAGAAGCAAATAATATTAAACGTGCATCAACATCAAAATATCGTGAATCTGTGTGTTGAAAAGAAAAACTTTTATGAAGAAGAAGAAAAAGAAGAAAATAGTTTTATAGAAATGTAGAATACTTTTTTTTTGGATGTATATAAATATGTATTTATATTATCTGTTAAATAAGTATTAATTGAATTCAGCCGGTATCTATTAAAAATAAATTCAGTTTGCAATTTTATTTTTCTTTTGTTTTTTGATAAATGAAAGTTTCAAAGATATTTTACATATGATTCAATATAAGAATTGTAATGGATAGAGTTGTGTGACAAATGGATTAATATCGAACATTATGCAAAA